GAATGCCTTTCGGCATCTCATTAGGTCCTGAGGAATATCAAAGAAGACAACAAGAATTCCTTGAAGGGTTGGACGGTGTTATAAATATAGCCGATGATATATGTGTTTTAGGACGGGGTGACACAAAGGGAGAAGCTAATATAGATCATGATAAAAATCTCATCGCTTTGTTAGACAAATGTAAAGAACAAGATCTTAGGTTGACCGTGAAAAAAATGCAATTCAAGTCCACTGCAGTAACCTTTTTGGGACACAAATTAACTGATCAAGGAATTTGCCCGGATCCGGGAAAGGTTAGCGCAGTTCGTGAGATGCCAAGACCTCTTGATAAAGTTGGGGTACAGCGTTTTTTGGGGATGTGTAATTATTTATCAAAATTTTGTCCAAATCTAAGTGAAACAGTGTTGCCGTTAAGAAATCTAGTCAAGCAGAACGTTGAAATTAATTGGTCGGATTCGCAAGAAAATGCTTTCAACGCAGCTAAAGATCTTATTGCATCAAGCACAAATTTACTTTATTATGACGTTAAACTTCCAGTTACGTTACAAGTGGATGCGTCGGATGAAGCTATTGGTGGGGTACTTATGCAAGAAGGGAAACCAGTTTGTTTTACGTCACACACTTTAACAGATACAGAAAAACAATATGCGCAGATTGAAAAAGAGTGTTTGGCTATCATGACAAGTATGAAGAGGTGGCATCAGTATCTCTTTGGTAAACATGACATTATTGTGCAAACGGACCATCAACTTTTAGAAACAATTTTTAAAAAGCCACTTAGTAAGGCACCACGCACTTCAACGGATGATGCTTCAACTACAGCAGTATAATTTTGAAGTTGTGTATAAAAGAGGGAAAGAACTTTATGTTGCAGATACTTTGTCACGGGCAGCATTAAAAGAAAATTGCGCGGTGGAGTTGGAGTCAGAAATGGTATTTCGAGCTGAGCTGGAGCAGATAGGTTTAAAACCTGCCAAGATGTCAGACTGTACGTTAAATAGAATGAAAGAAGAGACCAGAAAAGACCAAACGTTGAAGTGTTTGTTGGAAACGGTGCGAAAAGGATGGCCATCGGATAAATTAATGGTTCCACCGTGTATCAGACCGTATTGGTTTTTTCTAGTTGAAATCACGCTTCACGAAGGGGTGCTTTTGAAGACGCATCAAGTGATTGTACCAACAGTGTTGAGGAAAGAAATGTTGGAAAAGATTCACAAGTCTCACCAAGGTGCTGATAGCCTGCTCACAGACGTTGTAGTTCTTACGCCAAGCGACGAAATACTACCGTCTGCTTACCCGAGCGCCAAACTGAATTCCGCCCCGTCGACCAATCAGAATTTACCTTAAATATATAAATATAAATATATATTTTGAAAGCAGTCGTCGGTTGAATTTTGGTCAAAATTGAATTTAAAGATACTGATACTTGTCCAGGTAATAAAATGCACCATTGATGGCACGATCAGATTTGGATATTAAAGATGTTCGGTTATATTTAAAACGCGGACAGGATTCGCATATTTAATATGCTGTATGAATCTAGGCCAGACAGCATCAAATGCCGAATATATTTCGCTGATATTTGAACTTTTGTCGGATGTTTATCTTTATAAGACAACAGAACTCGGAAGACAGAAAATATTATATAATACTGTCGCTTATAGAAAGCGAAATATTAGCTTCAAAGTAAACTAATTTGCTGTTTGAGCAACCATTTCTGATTGTAAACTGTAAACACAACACAAACCCGAGAAACTTGTATTAAAATTGCGCCGTGATGAATTTTTCAATTCGCCCAAACTTCGAAACGTTTATACTCTAACTTGGCTAGATACTTTTCTACATGACAATGAGAGCTTAATCTTTTAGAAGTTTTCGTCGAAGTCATGGCATATAGGAAGTATCAAGAGCAACATTTGGACATATCCTGCAGATATATTCGAGTTTCCCGATTGTTTGTCATTGACATTGTTAACAAAAATTTAAATTTCGCCTACTGCATTGCTTTAGCACTTTATATACACCGATTGTTTGCTGAACATGCGAGAAGATGATCACAATATTATTCTACGTAAACATCGTGAAGTTCAACGCTATAGTTTCCAAAATATATCCACGCAAGTAAACAAATTTCAAGTTTCAACCCAAACAATATATTCCAATGCATGTGCAAGGGCTTTCCCCAGTAGCTAATCTCTCAATAAGGCGGCTTCCAATTGGCTCTAACTTTTTTGAACACTGCCAGATGATTGGCTCCTAAAACAAAGGGAATTGAATATGCAGCTCGGGTAAGCAGACGGTAGTATTTCGTCGCTTGGCGTAAGAACTACAAAGTCTGTGAGCAGGCTAAGGTGCTGACAGTAGTATACGTCGAGCTCGAGAAGCACTGTTTTGGCCCGGAATGTCAGCTAATATTCGTCAAATGTCTGAAGCTTGCGGAATTTGTGCTCAATTCCAAATGGAACAACCGAGAGAGCCTATGAAATCGCATGAGATTCAGGAGTTACCCTGGTCAAGAATAAGTGTGGATTTATTTCAATTAGCTGGTAAGAACTATTTGGTTATGGTTGATCATTATAGTGACTTCATTGAACTTGATCACTTGAAAAACACTACGGCTAATTCTGTAATTAAGGTGATGAAAAAGAACTTTGCAAGGCATGGAATTCCAAGTGAATGCGTTAGTGACAATGGTCCTCAATTTGACAGTTCGGAATACAGATCGTTTGCGAGAGAATATGGTTTTACACCGGTTAAGTCGTCTCCGTATTATAGTCAAGGGAATGGTAAAGCAGAATCGGCGGTGAAGGTTGCAAAATATTTAAAAAATCGGGCAACGAAGATCCTTACTTGGCATTACCAGCTTATCGCAATACTCCGCAACAAGGATACGTATATTCTCCAGCTGAAAGATTAATGGCACGGAAACTAAAGGATATTATTCCAATGGTACCGTCACAGTTAAAACCACGATTAGTTGACAGCAAAATTGTAAGAGAGGACATAATGAAGAGAAGAATTCAATCAAAGATTCAGTATGATAAAAAAGCGTCACGTCCATTGAAAGATTTAGCCGTTGATGATCGTGTTTACGTGAAGCCTAGGCAAAAGCATAAGCCTTGGATTTATGGGAAAGTCATCGAAAGGCCTGATGAAAGGACGTGTGTTACGCAAACGCCATTAGGATTAGTTCGCCGAAATCGGAAGCATCTCAGAAAGATTAAAGGGGAAAGTTCAGAACATCAAGTACGTGATGAACAATTCATGGATATTGTTTCTTTACCGGATATTGATAGTGACGTGACTAGTAGCAACAACAACACGGTTGATCCTGATGAAGAAAGGGCTGGAAATGCAGAACAGGTATCCGGAGAAGATCTCGTGTCATTAAGAAGATCTGAGAGAGTTCGCAGACCACCATTAAGATATCAGGAC